TGTTTACATTAACTGTGAGCATCAGGGGGTGGGGAAGTATTGAATAGACAGGACAAACAATTCACTACACACTTCGGTACAGAACAGGAATACAAAAACGAGGAACTTTTACTCAGACTATTATATTTACAATTGTTTTATTTAGAACGGTGTTGTGGATTTAGTTGTTGTTGTTGTATGCAGAATGAAATATTAAGGATTTGTTAAGCTGCCATGTATCCATACTTTTCCTGTTTGTGATATGGCGTCAGCTTGGCAGTAGACCATACCACCATAGACGTGTCTGTCTTAGACAGGTACGTCACGGTCAGTAGTACCAATTGCCTTCCAGTTACATGTTTTTGACAAGAAGTGTCGCATGGACCGAGTTACTCTGCTGCTAAGACCTAAAAAGGAGAGGGTCGTAGACCGAACGACGTCGAGTTACGGAGAAACTCAGTTTTGTTAACTAATAACCCGGAGTTTGGGCCCTTTCTTTGTAACTCCAACAGTTTCGTATGTTGGAGTCGAAATTTCGTTGTCACATGAGACGCCTTAAGACCGATGTGAGTTAGACACAGGAGTATTGAGAGAATAAGAAAATCGAAAGTAAGTTGAGTCACTTTGGGAAACAACGATATAAGGAGGTGACACCAGGTAACACACATGAACAAACACAGACCAAACGTGGGTCAGCTTTTATCGATGTGACTGTCCATAAGCGATTTACTGGGGAATGAGGCTGGGGTATGGAGGGAAAAGGGGAAAGGAGGGGAGATGTTGTATTAAGGCATTTTCGCCCCCTTAATGCAGATGATTCACTTTGGGCGCTTTTCATTGCAGTTTTACCAACGTCGATTTGATGTTGTGTGTCAAGTGCCGGTGATTACTGTTATCACAGTCCGTATTGACGACGACACTCAACGATGGATTGAGATTGGGGGCACTTGCAAGGTGTTTTGATATCCAATGAATGCATTGGGGGTCAAGAGTCTCATTGTACTTGGTCACTGTACAGAGTGATGACCCAAACATGGTGTTGTTCATAATATAGGTATACTTACTTATTTCCTCATTATTATTATTATTATAGAACAAAACAATTATAATAAATAAATAAATAAATAGTCAAATAAATATATATATATATATATACACAAACACACACACATCTCTTTCTTTTCTTATTAATTCACCTATATTCATCCATTTCCCATTTAATTTCACTTCTTTCATTATTATTCTTTGTGCCAAGATTGAAATGTAACACAATTATTGTTTAAGTGAATGTGCAATTTGGCCCGTCTGGTTGGTTTGGTGCAAATAAAGTTGCCATTTTACTCATCAAAACTGATGTTCATTGTTCAAATACCTGCAGAAAGATAAGGTTTGGCATCTTAAATGAAGAACTAAAACACTTTAAGGTTAGGGAAGGATTATTGTTACAGTTTCTGGAATACATGGGCATGAAAGTCAGGCACTCACATCCATCAACCACCTTAACCTTTTGCAAGGGGCAGCGCTTAGGTTTTTAACTATCCATTGCAAATGGTAAGCATAATATGGTGAACTCCTGTGGATTTAGAAAAGTTAACAACCATCCACATACATGTAGACAATGAAGACTTTCATCTTGAAAAATTACAAATGCCTAACAGTTACCCAACGCAGACATTAGATTTGATGGCCTTTCAAAAGCACTGTATGCCTTGAGGAGCTACTTCTGAGGGATGATTGATTGAAAGGTTTTTCCTTCTTCACGATAGGCAATTCTATCTCTTCATAATGCTGCTAGTTGTATAAGTGAATACAGATAATGAGTGAGGAGAAGAGAACATTTTTATCTTTAGCTAAGTTTGCCGTGAATAAGAAACAACAGGAACCTGGGGAATAGAAGAGATTAAAACATGATATGTCCTGACTCACAGACATCACACACGTCTTAGATTGCTCAGCCAGTAGTACATCTTGCTGTATTCTAAATTAAGATGCCACTAGTGACGTTGAAAAAGGCAGTACAGGTCAATTCCATCCATGACGCCTTGTGAATCTGTGAATTATAATTTCTATATCAAATAAACTCTGGAATGGACCTTTAGTCCTGTGCATCAGTCGGGGAGGGTCTCCTACAGAGGAGCTAAATGAAGTGCAGGATCAAAGACCTGGCTTCAGCTCAGAGACCTTCAGAATCCTCCTCTCCTCTCCTCTTCCCTCCTCTCCTCTTTTGCTGAAGTTGCCAAAGTGTCTTGTTCTTTTTTTTCATCACCCATCACCCTCCGTGTCTCCCTTAACTCTGTTGTGATCTCTCCCTCTTTAATCAGCTCTGCTACATTCTCATCTGTTCCTCCCTCTCCCTCCATCTCCCTCCCTCTCCTTCTCTCTCCTGACATCCAGTTCAAAGGAGGGGCCTCCCACTAAGTACCCTCCATCACCTCTCCCATCCACTTCTCTGCAGCTCTTCCCCAGATTCATCAGTGGGGGGTATTTAGATTTTCCCTCTGACACTTTCAACTTTTTTCCCAGCTTCATTTATTCCCTTTTTCATGCTCACGTTCTCTCGCTCTCTGTGGCTGTTCTTCTCTCTGTGTCTCTTCTATCTTCAACTTCAACTATGCTTCTGTAAAAACACATCTTCACAGACCTCGGAAGGGTAAAGGTTCACTCCAAGTATAAGAGTCGAACAGACCAACTTTTTCAATTTTAGACAACTATACTTTTACATCGGTACTATTACTAGAGCGAAGTAACAGTGTTTTAAGATACTGAATCCATCCAAGATAGATAGATGTATGATAGATAGATGTATGTATGTATGTATGTATGTATGTATGTATGTATGTATGTATGTATGTATGCATGCATGTATGTATGTATGTATGTATGTATGTATGTATGTATGTATGTATGTATGTATGTATGTATGTATGTATGCATGCATGCATGCATGCATGTATGTATGTATAGATAGATAGATAGATAGATAGATAGATAGATAGATAGATAGATAGATAGATAGATATAGATAGATAGATGGACTCTGTTATTTACTCAAATAGATGGTCTGCTTCATCGGTGGCATGAATGCTGGTAATGAAATGATATACAGATGATGATGATGATGATGATGATGATGATGATGATGATGATGATGATGATAGCGTTAGCGATTATGATGATATTTGATGATGATCATGATGATCATGAGGCTCTTATGTGCAGCCACAACTGCTTCTTTTACAGTTAGGGGGATAAATTACACTTCCAGATGATTCCTTTTTCACACACACACACAAAAAACACACAAAGATAAATGCATGATTTTCAAAACTAAATCATGTTTCAAAGGCACAACTTTCATTGAAAGTGACACTAATTCATACACGAAAACACACACTCACACACACACACACACACACACACACACACACACACACACACACAGTCAATTAAAAAAGGCACAAAGTGAGGCAACCGCCCAT